AAACCATTATCTATTTCTGCAAAAATGAATGTTAAAATGCACAACACATAGTTTCTATTTTAATATTTTGCAGAAGCTTAAACTATAATATATGTTTATTACACATGTAATGTATCTATATAAAAATATATAACATATATATAAAACATATATATTAATATATAAGATATATATATGAGTTATGTAAGTTATTTATATATATATGTTACACATGGCTAGGGCATTGGCTACAAAAGCTGACAAGTTATACTGCATCAAAAACAGTTAAAAGCGATTACAGCTATTACAATACAGATATTATAAATATATATATTACAAATTATATCAAAATCATTGTGATTCATAATAATAATTCGCAGAAGTCAACGAAATAATTAAAAAGTTAGTAATAATGAAAGCTAACGAGTAGATATAAGATTTCAAGGCAAGGAAAATGAAAGCCATTAAGAAGAAGCCCCGTGTGTACATTACCCAGGTAGTCAAATCCTCTGTACATGATGCAGGAGTCGGTGGCATTGATGGCTTCGATCTTGTACTTGCCCAGGGGCCCTGTGGGTAGCCCATTGTAGTCCTGCTGCCACTTGGGCGAGCCCTGGTACCTCACCAGGGCCCCGCAGCGCAGCAGCCACTCCGAGGCCGCGCGGTCAGGACCCACGGCTCGGATGCGCTCGTGGTCCACCCTGCAGACACAGAGAGCCTGGAATCATCAATATTATCAACAATAATGCTCCTCAGCAAACACCTGCCTGGAGAGGGCTGAGCTACAACAGAAGCTGGACAGAGTGCAGAATAAAGAAGGGATTTACTGAAAGGCCCTAAAGGACACACCTTGGGCAGTACAGGAGCCTGGCCAGGGCCACACCCAAGATGGACCCAAAAACAGTCACGAAATGGATGACTGGTCATGAGGGCTGACATTTTTATAAGTTTTGGTCCATCTGCATGTCTGTGTTAATTGTCCAATTACAGCTTCAGGTTATGAAGTCCCATCCCTCTTGTTCTTTGTCTTCAGTCCACTGTTGTTTCTGCTTTGCTAAAACTTAAGGCATCATGTGCAGGGTCAGAGAAGTAAGTGTGAGTAAATGAGGTTCACTCTTTCAAATTTTTAGAAGTTTAGTAAGGAATAATAAGGGATGAAGTAAAAGTAACAATAACCAGTAATGTAATATAATTATTACATTAATAATATGCTAATATTGTATAATAATATAATGTATTAATACATTAATTAACTGTTACATCTAGTAATAGCTAGATGCACACGGTTAACTAGAACAACTCTGTTTTTTCATTGCATTGGTCAAATGCATATTCATGAAGCTTATACATATTCAAACATTCTTTTGCATTTACATGTTTTGGGAATTTTTTAGCTGAGTTCAACTCTTGACTTTGTTTTCTTAGACATTTCATGCCATGATGCAGATGTGATTTTGAGAGGCTTATATTTTATTTCTTCACAAGGCCCCCTGGCCCGTGATTTGATATTGATAGCCAAAGGGTCGGCGGTAGATTCTTCTTTGCTCTTTCAGTGTTACTTGCCTGGTTCTTTTTAATGTTATCTTATACAGATGTTTTAGCTGTTTTTACAAGTTCTTTTAATCAATATTAGTTAATTCACTATTGCTAGTTAGCTACAAAAATAAAGTAATTCGTTATTATTTCAGAAAAACAACTACTTCTGTAAAAGTGAACGTTATAATACACAGCACACAGCATTTATTTTAATATTCTGTGAAAGCCTAAACTGTAATATATATTTATTACACTAAAATATACAATTTACACAGGGATTAGGGAATTAACTATAAAAGGCTGACAAATTATATGATATCAGAAACAGTTAAAAAGAGATTATAAACTGTACTATATTAAAATAATTTGTAAAAGTTAATATAGAACAGTGAAAGCCAACAACTACATAGTTATTTATAACGTGAGGATGTGATTTACTGAAAATTGTTCATAGGTAATTTTTGGATTGTGCAGTGATTAGTCTGGCGTGAGGTTTTTTTATTTAAGTGGCAGATGCTTTTTGGGAAAAAAAAAATACAAATACAACTTTAACTCTTTCCTTCCATGTCTGTAAGGAAAGAAAACTGTGCCACTGATTAAGGTGAGATTTGGGGTCAAAGAAGACCAGGATTTCGGGATGGGATCCATGTGCATTCCAGGGAAGGGGCAGAGCACACACTTTCCTCTGGAAGGTCACAGCTTTGGAATGGGAAGCAGATACGGAACGACCCCTTGGCAACAACCACCATGCAATCTGGGGGGGAAAGAAGAGCGTTAATGACAGAAAACGTTTTCTGCAGCCGAGGGATTTGGTTGTTCTGCTCCGCAAACCGCGCAGAGAATTTGAGGGATCTGAAAGTTAATTATTAACCAGCGACTCACTCTTACTTGTTGAACACGGCATTCAGCCATCCCCAAAAGGCTCGACAACTGCCCGGCGGCAGCGGCGGCTTCCTCAAGAGTGTCCCCAACGCCATCCTCACCTCCTTGCAGACGGGAGAGGGGGAAAGGGAGATGTTATTTGGAGCGCCAGCAGCAGGGGGACGCCGTGCCGCCCTCAAGGCCTGACCGGGGCTGCGAGCCCGGCCGGGCCCACGGCTGCGGCGGGGGGGGACCGTCACCGCCCCC